CGACATCGATTTTCATCGATTGCTTGGAAACGGGGCAAGCTATCGATTATTAGAAGCGCGGGCACTGGGAAGACATTCCAAATTTCAAGTCAGCATGCTGATCATAAATCTGCCTGTTACATAAACTTGCACAAAACCATTATACCCCTTTTATCCATTTTCAATGGGCTTAGGGTATAAACATTTAAATATGTTTTTGGTTATTTAGTTATTTGTTTAGCTTTAGCCATGACTTTAAGGCTTAGGGAATTGATATCGCTTTTTAAGCACATGCAGCCAAAAAAAGAGAAATATAATCGAAATGAGTTCTCTAATTTACTCACCACATTTCTAAGCCCTCTTTTATCTGCGGATTAAAAGTATGTCCTGTGATGAGCATAACATTTAAATTTAATTTTATATTTAAATTTAAATTGTATATTTTTCTCAGAGCATAACTTTATTTCGACTTTCTTTGTTGAATGTACTGCATTATATTCGTGTTATTTTCTCAAAATGTTTGATTTAGCCAACTTTGGCTTCAACCTTCGAAGCTGAGCTAACAATGGGAATCGTCGGTCCCTTTTGCCATTAGCCATTTACCTGCTGCTGACGTGGACGTGCCCAAAATGCGGGCATCAATAATTTTGGCACTGTTTATTATGCAGATACACAAAATGGCGCACACACACACAGACAGACAGGCAGACACATACACACAGATACACATTCGCACAGGTCTCGAGCTCGTCTTGAGCAAACTAAGCTGACACAGCATAAAGTTTGCCCACACGCGAGGGTCAGCACCAGGGGGGTCAGGGGGGGGGGGTCAGGGGTCAGGGCGGTCTGGGGTCTGCTGGCGGCAACAGTTGCTAGCAATCATCTAGGCTGTTACCTTATTACAACAACAACAACAACAACAGCAATGTAACAAAAACTTTGCCATTACGACAATGGGAGTTATCTGGCTGTAAATACATAATCTGCTGCCCGCTGCAGTTCTTTCGGTGCTACCCAAAGGTGCCTGCGCACCTTGAATAGGGATTTATTTTTATTGCCACAGCGCTCTTCTTTGGCATTAAGGGTTAAGCAGGTGCTTTATAAGACACGCAGAGCCCGAACTGTAACTAAAGGCCAGCCAAATGGGTGTGTCCAAGTGCGTGAACGTCTTTCGGCTTTTGTTTAGCTGCCTGCCTGTAAAATTCGCACCTCAAAATGTGTCCCCAAAGTGCAATCAAGAGATTTTTGTCAGTCACTTTGGCCCAGGCCGGGCAAAAGTTTAAGGCACTCCGGACCTTCGCTCTATTATAATTAGTTAAGCGGAGCATTAAATTAGGTGCGAACAGTTTTAGTGCAAGCGAATTATTTATTTAACTCGCCTTTGTATGCGCCGCCTTCAACTGGCATATTTATGCGCGTTAAGCTATTTTCTATAATTTATGGCACTTTTTATTTTTGTTCTATTAATTTAATGCATGGTATTTATAAACTGAAAAGTTTTTGCTTGGATTTTATGAGCTTTGTTTTGTGATAAAAGGTGTTTTGCTATATTTTAGCTCAGAAAGACAGTTGTACAAGTTTGTGCTTTGTTTAATTCTGTAGAGAATTTTATACCGGATTGAGGTGTTCTTCGGTGTTTATTTTATGGTTTTAATCCCATTACGTCCCAACATTCCAGGGCTGCAAACTCAAAATAAATATATCCCAGGTTCGGTTCTTGGTTCATGATTTGACTCCCTGTTTTTAGGTTTGCTGTGTGAAGCTGGTTAAGCTAAAATCTCCTCATATATTTTTTTAATTTTAATAAAACAATCTTATTTTGAATTGGAAATTTGTAGAGATATATTTGATAAGCAGACATCTAATTTAAATCCCATTACGTCAGGGCCGCAAACTCAAACTAAATATATAACCTTGGTTTGGTTCATGTTTGATGTGGTATACTTGCAAAATATTAATAAAAAAATCTAAACTTTAATTTACAATTGCCCGTTGTGCTGAAAATATTGCAATATCGCATATTGCATAAACAAATTGCGGGCTAAATTTGATTTCCACCCTAAATTGGCGTCTATCAAATATGATTTGATAAATGTTTGGGGCCAATTTGTGCTTTGGGGCTGACTCTCCCTCAAAGGCTTTTAAGTGAATAAATAAATATAGTTTAGTTAGGCTTTCAATTGAAGAAAAGATTGAAGTTCTTGCCGTAGGTTTGAACCAGCGGGTCCGAGCCAGCTCAGCTCAAACCCGAACGGCAGCCTTGACAAACAAAGTAAGGTTCAAGAGCAATTTGTATATTGTATTAAAAGCTACTTTTTATAATTTTCGACCTAACCTCCAATCTCAATAGATCACAGCTCAATCGCTTGATTCGCATCCGTTTTGCTGCTGGCCACAAATTATTTTGAATCCAACTGTTTAATCTGAATGTAAACGAAACAATTTGTTCAACATCAACAGCTCTAATACAATAATTCAATAGCACACAAACGCTTTTACGCAAATTCACACACACACACACAATAATTTATATGTATATATAGAAAGTTTTTCGGGTAAAGCCCGGTTGACATATTGAAATTCATAACTACACACGAAAACCAATTACAATATCAATTTAAAAGGGATTAAAAAGCATGTCCACGGCTTACCCAGAAGCAGGGCCAACTACCAAAGAGTGGGTCGCTGCGGTTGCCGGCGACTACTCGTAATATTTATTTATAAGATTTGCAGATTGTGAATTTTGTGTTGTATTTTGGTTTCTTATTTCGGCAAAGTTGAAATGAAAATGAAATTCTGAGCTAGCAGATTTTCATAATAAATAACGCATTAAAAAAACCATAATAACAAATATGTTGTATTGTGTCAACACGGCAAATGAATTTCCAACAAGTGGCTCTGTGTTTGTGTGTGTGTGTGTGTTTTTGTGAATTTTTGCATAATTTATTTTGTTTGCCAACAAGCTGATAACCACAATGTTGTGTACAAAAGACCGCAAAGTATTTGCATGCGACTCACAGCCTGAACCCGGGTACTTACAGCCCGGCCTGGACTTAACTCGACTCGGCTTTTGTATTTCTCTGTGTGTGTGTAAGCCCCATTTAATTTGGTTAAGTAAAGTTGCTGATGAGTGCAGTAAATTGGCATAGATATTGCATATTGCAGCAAAGGGCGATGCATTTTGTGGCATGCCACGCATCGCTGTGCCTCAATAAATATAATTGAAATGCACGACTAAGCAATTTAATTTGTAAATCAGTTGCCCCCATTGAGCTGGCCATGACTATCAGTGTATTAAGAGCCTGCCAGTTGATTGAGCGCCAAGGATATATAGGTAGTTGCCTCCATTGAATCGGAGACAAAGTACTAGTAGAAAATATCTTAAACTGCGCCAACTTCAGACTCTTTATTTTTCTGGTTTTGTTTTTTAAACACTAATTTTTGTTCTTCTTTTTATGAATAATAAGAAATTTAATAAAAAATCAAAAGAATTGTAAATCGGTTTTGGGTTTGAGCCGGCGACTTACCGTTTGCTGGTTTGTAAATCAGTTGCCCACATAAAGCTGGCCATAACTATCAGTATATTTAGAGCCTGGAACTGGAATGGGTACCAGAGCTAAAAAGGTAGCTGCCTCCATAAAATCGGAGACAAAGTTGACTTATAAGTATACTGAAAGAAACTGAGTCTGAAAATACGCCAAGTTCAGACTTGGCTAAGAAAGCCACCCAGCTCTTTGTTTTCTTGGCTTTTTATTTTATTGAATTGGGCTCCCCCTTCTTAAGGATAATGAGAAATAAAATTAACATTGATAAGAATTGAAAATTGCTGCTGGGTTTGAGCTGGCGACTTCGCGCTCACATTTAGGCAGCCGCATGAAGCTGGTCACAGGGTAACTACTAGTCGAGCACTAACTCAACTAGCGGAATCTGGCTTTGACTTGCAAAGTGGTCTCAATTTTGCTGGAGCGGTACGAGATGAAAGTGGAAACGTGGAATAAAATCAACTGGCTGAGCTTGTCAAATTAACATTAACTGGCGATTACAATAGCTTTACCTGCCCGTCTTGTTCGACATGCATGCGATAAGGCGGGAGGCGCAACAAGCCAATGACAATTGAAGGGATAACGAGACACACTTTGAGCGGCACACACAAACACACACACACATGCACACACACACACGCCCACGCACAACCAGCAGCAGCTACAACGCTCGTTTGCCTTCTTCTTGTTGATAAAGGAAATTAAACAAAAAAAAAGTTAAGCCCTCCAGACAATTGACACAGCTTGAGGAGATGGAGGAGGAGGAAGTGGAGGAGTGGGGCATCGGACCGGTCAGAGAGCGGGACGTCGAGCGGGAACTGTGGCATTTGTCTGATTGTCTCGTTGACATGACGTTGCGCGATTTGTAAAAGGCTTTTGTTTTTGTTTGGCGTCGTCTGCCTGGCTGCCTGTCTGCCTACAAGTGAGCAACACGCGCCAATGATTATGTTGCCGCTGACAACGACAACAACAACCAACAACAAGCAACAACAACGAGCAACACGGCAACGGAGCACTCCGAAAAGTGCCCATTGGCAGCGTGCAACGCTTCGTTTTTGTCCTTTGTTATTGTTGTCGCCCTTCGTTTTCGGTATTAAGTTGGCTTGAAATGCTTGCCACGAAGCTTTTCATTGAGCAAATGTGACGCATGCGCCGCTGCAAGCGCCAGACGAACAGCCAGAATGTGGCAAATGCGATTTTGGCCATTTCTGTTCAGTTCAGTTCCGTTCAGTTCAGTTCGTTGTTGACACTCGTGCGTGCTGGACGTTTGCAGCGGCCACGCGGCGTATGTGTAATATTTGTCGTTCTCAATTTTCCCGTTCTTGTTGTCGGACAATTCGCGTTTATTGGATTTTGGCGCAAGTAGCAAAAAGCCGGTTAAAGTGTTAAGAGCATGTGCTGCCGTATGTGTCTGCGTATTTTTTGCGTGCGTGTGTGCTGAGGTAGAAGAAATACACTTGGCTACAGCATTCCAAAAAAAAAGAAAGGAAAAAAGAAAATAATATAAAGAAGAAAAACAAAGCACGAGAAATTCCAAGAAAATTAACTTGGCTCATTCTTGAACTGTTTCTGCGATTGTTGTCGTGTTCGCAACTAGGTTAATTGATGTGTGTGTGAGTGTGAGGTGTGTGTGTGTGTGTGTTTGAGCGCATCCATACGAATTATAACAAACCAAATACAATACAAATACAATAAAGTACAGCGTGTGGCACAAGCCCTAATGAACGTGCAACAATAGACTGCGCGCGAGCACGAGGCACGCGATGAATGCAACAAGGACGCGGACTGCAATACTTAGAGTCAAGCCAACAGAAAACTAAGGTAAATAAATATATATAAAAATTGATTTAATTGAAAAGCAAACAATGCGAAATCAAGTGAAATTTGGTTGGGAATTCAGAGAAATGCTGTTGAAAAATCTAACAATTGGTCTTGCATATAGAAAAAGTGGTTTTCGACTTTTGATATAAATTTCCCCAAGCAGACAAAAAGGAAAATTTCAACAGTTATTTTAAGCGAAACGGAAAAGTCGTGTATTCGAGAGTTTTTGAAATAAAGATCGTATTTTTTAAAAATAAACTTGATTTGCTTATGATAATAAGAAATTGAAGAAACAATCATTAGCATTGAAAATTTCTTCTTGATTTGGGCCAGCAACTTCTCGCTGGCTGGTTCAACGCTTCAATTTGGCTACAGGGTAACTGTTAGTCGAGCACTAGCCCAATCTGGCTTTGACTTGCAAAGTGGTTTTAATTTTTATCGTAGTAATACGGGCTGAAAGATTTTCGAATATTTTAATAGTCAAATTTATTTGTATATTTTATGGCGCAGTATTGCATTAATTTTTGACATCTACAGCGGCTTACACATAAATTCTTACGGTAAATAAATTCGAAATAAATTTTATAAGCATACAAAAAGAATTGTTAATAAAATGTAAATAAATATTTAACAATTCATGTACATAAATTGGGGAGCGTGCAAAAATGTAATTAAATCAGATCAAAAAAACAAAATGTCGCTGCAGAGCTTCGCTGTAATTGACTTGCTGCCTCTGTGTGTGTGTGTGTGCGTGTGTGTGTGTGTTATTTTGTGCCCTAAAATTATTAATTAAAATTTTTGTTGTTCGCTTGCCTCGCTTTAAACTAAGGGTATTCAATGTCGGCTGCCTTTGAGCGAACTGTTCGTTGCTTTTGGTTGTCGGTTGTCGGTTGCTTGTTGTGTGTTTTTTTTTGTTTTATTATTTGGCGGAAGCCGCGCGGCAGCATTTATAAAAAGGTTTTTCTTGCTCGCCGGGTTACGTGAGTCACCAACACAAACACACACACCCACACACACACACACACACACACGCAGCCGCCACAAGCATGGCTCTGCTCTGCATTACCGTTCTTTTTATGACGGAAGTACATTTAAGCAGATTTTTTACTGTTGCCTGCATGTTGCCCAAGCTCTGCGATCAACAAAATTTAAATATTTTCCTTTTGCGCTTTGCCTTCCATTTTCCTGTCTTGCCAGCAACAAATTTATTACCAACCAAATTGCAATGTGTAGCCAAAAAACAATAAAAAATAAGCAAAGCAAACTTTTAGCCCAAAACGCTATAAAAAGGGTTTTGGGCTGCCTAAGCCACGAAAGTTGTGTGTCGCCTTTACAGGGTATTGCGTAAACGTTAAATTATAATTGTGTCCATAGGCCACAATTCAAGTCAACTGTCAGCGTTTCGCGTTTCATAAGGTTTGACGCACGTTTTATTGAAATTTAATACAATTACCACACACCTAGCGGCAGCTGAGCGTGTGTGTGCGAGAGCGTGTGTGTGTGTGTGTTAGCCAAGTGAAAGCTAAGTGAAAGTCATAAGCTACCAAAAATTGTACATAAATAGCGTGCGTGTGTGTGTGTGTGTGTGGAGAGACTTCTCGAGCTGCCAGGCGAGTCAATAAATAAAATTTACATGTGACTAGCCCTAAGACTTGTTAATAGAATACATGCTCATGGCAAATGAGCTGCCATATACCCTATAAAAATCAGTCTAATGGGTAGCTTTTTGTTTTGTGTGTGAAATTTGATGCGGTATTAAATACGCTGTAGATAGCTGAAGCTAAGACCTAAGATCTTTTGGCTACTATTTACAGAGTAACTAAATACAGGGTATTACCAGTCAATACTCCATAAATATCTCTTATGAGCATATAATACTTTAACGACATTACATTAATTTATAAATATTTAATTTAATTTATTTATATAAAGTAAATCTCTACTATTATCTACCACCTACAACTTTTTACAGGGTATTTTATGTAGCTATGTTGTTATGTCATTGTTGGAGGAGCCACCGATTTGCTGTGACTTATTTGATGCCATGCATAATGATATAATCTGGCAGCGAGATAAAATAAAACTTGCTGGCACTCATGTCGGGCAGCTTTAAGTGCCATTTAGATGGCAATTTAAATTTGCATAGCATTAGCTCGCGCTCGAGCATCTGCTGACATTTATTAAGTGTCTAAGTGAGCTATTCAAAATCAAAGCAGCAGAAAAATCGTCTTCAGACTGCAACAGAAAAGCAGACTCCAACGCCTTATTGTCAGCCAGGCGGCCAGGCAGCCAGCCAGCGAGCTGTGTGGCATGCCAGCGCGTTGCAAGTGTGCAAGAGTACTGAGTGCAGCTGCAACAATGCGCTGACATTTATGGCACGATATGCCGCTTGCAGCTGGCAGCTGGCAGACAAATGCCTTGAGTGTGCCATACCATGGCAGCCTTCGGGCTGCGCAACATTCTAAGTCTGTCTGTCTGTGTGTGTCACCTGCTGACATTTCCAATGTCTGCTTTTTCACATTAGCTGTGCCATTTTTCGTAGCATACTTTGCTGCGCCCTCCGAGTGCGAGTTGCGAGCTGCAGCAGCAAATGCGAAAGATTTGCTACGTGCTCAGTGCCCAGGCAAAGATTGAATGTCGTGGCAGTCGTCCAAGGTACTGTAAAATGTGTAAAAGGTTTCAAGTCTCAGGCTTAGTTGCGGATCTGTGCACAGACACGGGCTTAGAAGAGTTCGCGTGCGAGGATTTGGCGTGAATAGATGGGCTCTCTGCCTGGCTTTAGAGTTTTTAAATATTTAACCAGAAAGGCGACTTTATGCATACTAATTAATCTATTCGCTTACGATGCATATTCAAGTTGCTCCACAAATTCCGAAAGCTGCAATTTATGAGATTTTGCAGGCCCGACTCGCCCATATGGCAGACACAGTTTTTAATATGCAGCCAGGGAAAAGGCTTTGATGTTGTTTGACGCTGTTGTGGCATATTTGCTTATCCTTTTCGCCAGTGACACAGCAGACGAGGCCAACCGACGCCCAACTCAGCCAACACATTCGGCTTAAAGTCGAGCCTTGCCCTGGCCCGTCAGCTGCACTTTTCGTTTAATCGAAGCAGCTTTTGAAGTGCTTTTAATTAAAGCGCCGAGCGCCGATGCTGGTATATAAAAAATATATGTTACATATCCATGTATAGCTGGGCCCTGTCACACATGCCTCGCTTCTAGTTTCACACGCACTTGGCGAGAATTTTCTTGCTACCCTCCCCCCATCAAGCTGGGCGCATGAAAAGTGTGAACAATTTTATTGTGCGGAAAATTCGCTTGTGCTGTGAATGTGTCCATGTGCATGTGCATGTGTGTGTGTGTGTATGTGTGTGTGTGTGTGTGCCAACCTTTCACATTCAGGCAAAAATACTTTTGCATAATTTATATAAAAAAGAGCGCATGAAAAAACTAAGAACGCCGCGGCCAAGGTAACAATAAAAGGTCACCTTATTGTTGTTGCTGTTGCCAGCTTTTTTTAGCGCTACTTTTTTGTTTTGTTCTTAATTTCCGCTTGGCCATTGTTTGTTTTAAAGGCGTTCTGATATACTCGTTCAGAAAGTGCAGAGAGGAGAGTATATTGGCTTGGTGCGGCCTTTATTTCTGTTGGACTTTTTGGAGGCAGAGATTTGCGGCTTGGAACATGCTTGGAACACTGCACTTACACCCGAGTCAGTTAAGCTGTAAAGATTATATGGCTACGATCTTCACAGTCTAAGATCTTGACTAACCAAATCTTAAGCTATAAAAATCGATATATATCTTAATAGTTTTGGCCCCTTCTAAGCTTTCATTGCACTGTCAAGGAGTATCACGCAGTCGGTTGCAGCCTTTTGCAGATTTATTTTTGTTGTTTTCGTTCATAATTTGTGTATTTTTATGCTTACTTGGGCCTGTGATGCACATTTGGGCAGGGCCGTTGGCTAAAACTGTTGCTTTAAATGTGCAAAGTCGCGGCAAAACTGGGCTGTAAATTGCATTCATGGCAAATGTCAACGGGTCGGCTTAAGCGAGCTGGACTTAAACAAGCTAGTTTTACATTTTATTTGGCATATTTTATATAATACAAATAACATGTGTCATGCACATTTGACACCAAAGCCAAGTTAAATAGAAATTCTCTTTTTTTGGCAGCTAATTCCATGAAATTCTTTAGTTCCCGCATTGGTTGGCATTCAAAGTGTTTTTCAATTGAGCTCCATTTGCACCTGCCGCGCCCGGCCAGGCCTGACAACTAAAAAACTAAAAATACACTCTCATATGCAGCTAACCATGAAAAACGTTGCATGCCACAATATGCATGCTGTGTGTGTGTGTGTTTATGCCAATGGTTAAAAAAAAGTGCCGAAAAAAGTATAAATCTTAAATGTTCTGACATGTGTGTGTGGGTTTTGTTAGAGCCAAAAAAAATTCACGCGAATAAAATACACGAATGCCGAACTTTGGCTGTAAAATACCGCCCGCAGCGCGGCAGCGGCAAAGCCAGAAATAAATAGGAAAATGTGTGTTTCAATCATTTGGGAGTCTGTTAGGGAGAATGCTGTGGAAAAATGTAAGCGCTGGCATTGTTTTCTGTTGCTTAGCAGCTGCAGCAGCCACCGCAAATTACTTGTCAAGTGCTTTGGCAATTGACGTCGCCTGCCTGACAAGCACAAATTAGTTCCATTCCATGCCATGCCCTGCGCCGCACTAGTTCCATTCCATGCCATGCCCTGCGCCGCACAGTAGGCAACATTTTTGCGCAAATATTTTATGTAAATTGCTGGAACAAAGCAACGACAAAAGGCAAATCAGCAACTAAATTTATAAGCAACTGCAATGAGATTTTGAGGTAACAATAAAAGTAAGTTGGCCCCGATTTCTGATGAACAGCTTGACTTTGTCTGTCAGGCGCCGATTTGGATCATGGCTGACTGACAATCTCTGGCTGCGACTCCACATAAAGCTTCAACTATGCGTA